CATTAATTTATAAAGCTGTAAGTCCTTACTATAAAACAATGGGATTTGTATTTATTGCATTTTGTACTGCTTATTTATGTGTATTTATTACTGCTGTAATTGCATGCTGAAGTTTGAGAGCTGGTTGTGCCTATTAATCTGGGAAGCAGCACACAAACATGCCTATGAAGAGAGAAAGACGAGTATCAAGTGTGTTAAATGCTGGGTTAACTCCATGCTGCCCTTCCTGTGATCTGCTGTGTCTCTTCGGCAATGTCAGCTCCACATCATGCAATGCAGTAATCCCCTTATTAACTGTAAGCAGCAGATATTGATTAGGAGCAACTGAAATGGTGCACAAGGAAGAAATTAAGGTCCTATCTCTGTTAACTCTTATATACACTTATCAAAGTGCAAAAAATGTTCTTTTTTCTTGCTTTTAGTAGCATACATCCTGGACATGCCTTCCTATTAAAACTGCCAAGTGTTATCTTTCTCACCTCTTTCTCCACCAAACTTTATACCCACTGCAAGGTGCTTTGGTGGCACAAATGCTTTGGTGGCTATAGGCATGTGTCCTCACAGCACTGCCTGGATTACGTGTGTGAAGGCAGGAAGAAGAAAGGCACTGCAGCCCCAATACTAAGAGATGAGATAACAGAGTGTCAGTAATGAATCCGTGATTTCTTTCATATCTGTTACTTTTATGACTGCATACCCTTGTAAGTGGAGATAAACCGTCAGGTAAACCAGTCTATTTTTTGATACTGCATTTATCTTATCAGTATACAGCATCTGACATGCATCTATTAGTTACATTCCCTTGAAAAAATGTCTGGGGAGAAAAAGGCTTTTAGATTAGCACATAGGAAACGAATATGAAATTATACAAAAGATTAACAAATGCAGTTCCTTACTACATCAGGGCTTTTTAAAATGAAAAATGACTCTTTCTTTCATCTCTTTCTTTCCTTTCTCTTCCTTTCCAATTTAAGGTAAAAAGTAACAAAAATGGAGAGACTAATCAGTTTCATTATACTAAAAAAGATTATTCAACTGAGATTACAATGAAAGCTGATATTTTCTTAATCTCAACAAACTGAAAACTTGACAGCAGCTCACACAGCTCACATTCTCATATTTTCTCAAGGACAGGCTGGGTTAACATCATGAAGTCAGTGAGGCTACACCACAGAACTGGAGGAAATGAAAAGTGAGGCTGCTTTCTGCACATGGGCTCAAAGCAATTTGTCTTACCCAGCCCATTATTATCTGATCTAAAAATTAGGTCAAATCCTGTGGCTATTTTTTAGTCTTTATCAGATGCATTTCCTGGTGGGTTTAATTCTAGTCTTGCTCATTCAGGCCTCATTCATCCTTTTAATAGGAATTGTCTCTGTTAGGTCTCAACTGTTCAGTGACATCTGCCTTGTTACATAAAATTCACATTAAAACTATACTGGGCTTGATGTTTTTCAGCCAAAGAAAAAGGCACCTCAAATCCTCCCTCTGTCCATGGAAGTAAATTAAAAAAACAAACAAACAAAAAAAAAACAACAAACCACCATGACCAGAAAAACTGTATCAAAACCTATTAGCAACTCCAGCACACCTGGCAGGATGTGCCTGAAGTAAACAAGAAATGTGTGAACAAGTAAGAAATGCATTTTAGCACTTTCACAGACCGCTAACCCAGACAACGATATTATATTTTTCCAGTTCCACAAAGATGTACATTGAGAAACCCCACTCTGCAGTTTACTGTGCTATCAAGAATGAGAGAGTGAAAATGAATCCCAGCATATCTGCTGGTTCAAGACGACAAAAGGCTCAGCTCTGCTCTCATGGGAAGTCTAATGCCTCAGGAAGATCAATTCCATGGCATACGAAAGAAGCTGAAAATAACGATGTTTCTATCACCTACTGTTTCTCCTCATTTTCAGAAAAAGACAGCCCAAAAGGGAGTGGCTTCCTACCCTACACGAACACTTAGAGGAGCCAGGATGTTGGCTTTAGACTGAGACTCTTCCTGTTTATATTGCTAGCATGTGCAGCCTTTAAAATGTAGCAGCATCTTCCCTCCATATTTATAGATTACTCCCCTCCTGAATAACAGGAGCTCTTACTTGGCCAGGGCAATGTTGCAATTGATTTTCATAGAGAACTTTCATTGACTGGGTTGTTATATACTTTCTGACACATGCCTGACCCTGCATTAAACAAATACAAGCCACTTTTCCAGGATGCACATTTTTCACACTTTCAAATTACTTTTCAGTTAATTCCATTACACGCTCAGTGAACAGAGATGTTGAATGCTATTTTTTTGTTTGTTTGTTTTAACAGAGTGTGGCTCCAGTCCTTGAGATGACACTGTAATTCCAGAATAAGACCAGTGATCATAAGGGAGAAAAGAGAGAAAGAGAAAGAGAAGGAAGAGAGGGAGAACAGCAGAATATTTTTTCTCTTAATGTGATTGGAATGGCAAGTTATGCTACAGTTGCAGCTGTTGAGATGACACCACTAGGTTTGGGTATTAAAATACGCCATAATTTAACGTAAGCAGAACACTTTGAATGCTCCATTCACTTCAGTGATACATAGAGGTATCAGCGCTCCCTTTTGTATGAATTAAAAATGAAAACTGCATTGGTGTCATAAGCATGCAACTACTAATGGAGGCTGAACTGGACACTTCTGCCTATCCTAAATCTTAGACATCCTTGGTTTCCAGATTCATAAATACTGCACAGACCCTCCCTTATATCCCAATCTCATGGCATATTGTGTAGACATCAGAAGACTTTTCAGATGTATTTAAAGTTTAGGTAGGACACAACCATTATACCGATAGTACAGATTTGATCCTCTGAAATAAATATTGTGAGTATTGATAAACAAAGATACAGCATAGTTCACTGTTTAAAATAGTAATCTTGCAAACAAAATCACATCACAGAGGGAGGCATATAGCCTTCATCAGATGTTTGAGTTCCTAAAAGAGTGGTCCTGAGTTCACTGAGAAATGTATAGAAATCTGTGAAGTTGGAAACAGACAATTCTGCAGAGGTGTCTCTACAGTTGTTTGAAAGCCTGCAGTCTGACAGCCTAACAGTTCAACTCCTAGTCCCAAGGAGTGAAGGTTTTGACTTTGGCTAAGTCAAAACTGTTGAAGAATCCCAAGCTCAGAAACAAATGATAAAATCTACACTAAAATACCAAAGCCATGTTTGAGCGACAAGCTCAAACTCCCTGGAATTTCTTTAATCAGACTGTTCTAAAAGAAACCACAAGACACTACAAAAATCACTAAACTGTTCTTCTCTCTCCACAATATAGTAAGAAAAAGAAGCAAAATCTGCATTACAAATGTTTTCAATAGAAATTTGGACATCTGGGAAGAAATGTCAACTGATATAAAAAATCAAAATAAGCTTGTGTATGAGTACAAAGATTATGTTATATATAAACATTTAGTGCATAGATGTGACAGTGAACGAAAGTTCTTTAACCATGAAGTGATATGTATTCAAACAAAAGTGCATTAATACAGTGGTCATCTGTCACAGGCTAACTGGCAGGACATGAAAATCGACTTAATGAGTTAACACAGAGCTCATAATCTAAAAAACCTGGTCAAACATTGCTAAGCCTCCCTGAAGTGCTGACTGTTGGATGAAAAAAAAAAAAAATGGAATGCCTTTTTTGTTTCAGTACAAAATAAGAAAATATCTGAAGTCTTGAAAAGTTTTCTAGCATATGGAAACACTACATACTTTTTTAAAAACATATCTAATCTTTTAAGATGACCATGTGCAATATTTTTAATTACCTTAACTCTGGAGAAATTCTTCTCTGAGGCTAGTCTTGTGCTCAAAGGTGGAAGTCCTTTATTTCCAGTAAGTTACTTGGAGTAAAAGCATTTAAAAATGTGTATTTGAGAACTTTCACAAGAACAAAACGAGAATAAAACTCTAGATGAAGAACTTAAATCAGAAGAGTCATTCTATCAGTCCTTCCTCTAATGTGTCTGTGAAAAGCTTTATTTGGCTGGAAGATTTCTCTTTTGTTCATTATAAATTGTTAAGGTTGGTGCAGGAAATATAAGTATGCTGGAAACTCAGCTCTTAATGACCTTTTCTCACAAAACGTGTTTTTGTTGAGATGAAAACTGTGGAAGAGATACAATTCTGGGTGAAATATTTTGTTCCCATTATATAAAACAGGATTTGATTGTATAAAACAGGAGTCCCAAGTGTGGCTACACTATTACAAAGAAAAGCACCTCTTTGAAAATTAATGAACATTAAATATTTGTACAGTCAAATGAAGATCTGTTTTCAGGGAGCTGCCTAGTCTGAGTTCCTGGGGACTAAGCTGGGAGTTGTCCATAATAAACATGGAGGTTAGTAACCGTGAATAACAGTGATGAAGTACTAGGGCTGAGACAACCACTTGCAGTCTTATATTACCAATCTCGTTACATGATATACTAAACACATGCTTTTTTTCCTTTGTGTAGCAAAAGTAGCTTTATCATGTGATTGCAGAGATATAAAAGAATGCTTGTCACCTTGTTCCAGAGCTTGCTTTGACAATGTTGCTACTCATTAGCTTCAGACACTTGAGACATGTAATTGTTGTACACAGGAAATATTGCTTTTGCTGCTTTCCTCCCACACAAGGGAGAAGAATGAGACCTCAGAATCACAGAACCATAAAAATGTTTGGAGTGGAAAAGACCCTGAGAAATCATATGATCCAACCCTCCCCAACACCATGGGCAGGGATGCTTTCCACTAGATCATGATGCCTAAAGCTCCACCCAACCTAACCTTGAACATCTCCTTGCTCTTAAGAACAAAATAAACAGAAATTTTTTTATGCCTCTGAAGGACTGAACTTTAGTACACATCCATTACATCAGAAAACACAAAGTCCAGCATGTGGGACACAAAATCTCTCTCCCAAATGGCAGACTCCTCTTTCCCTCACTCCTCCCACACCGGCACAGCACTCACATGCAATGCGGACATAGGCCTTGCGGCTCTTGGTGGTGCCAGCTGAGCTCCAGGCGACGCACTGGCACCAGTAGTCCTCGGGCCCAAAGAGCTCCTCCACCTGCTGACGGGAAATCTCGATGCTCACCTCACGGACAATCAGACCTGGGAGGGTACAAGGAGCACTGGTCAGAATTATGTATACAGGAAGGAAGAAAGGAAAGACCAGAAGTCTGCTTGCAAGGCTGAGACCTTCTGATGCTCTGCCCATCTTGCAGCAATAAGGATATGAAAGAAGAAAAGCAACAATTTGTACGCAAAATAGAAGAAATGATTGCTGAAAAATAAATCACTCTCATCATGATTTTATACATATCGTGTGTCTGTTTGACAAAGAAAAGGATAAGCACCTCAGCTGACATAAATTGTATCATGTCCATGGGATGATTTACATCAAATGATGATTCAACCTGGTTTTATTTTCATACAAATATCAGAAAATTATAGAATCATTCAGCTTATATAACTCCCTTAGTCCTCTTGCATTTTTACCTTCTTTGGCTAGACAGATACACCATGGGGAGAATGTCCTGCTCACTCTGACACTGAACTGCACAGGAAAATAGATTTTGCTATTTTAGAAAATGTCCTGGTGCTCTGTAATGATGGGCACAAGTGTTGCGGCACAGTTATAGCAAGATGTCAGTTTAGGAGCTGTTACTGCCACATATTCTGGAAATACTGCAGGATTTTTTAGATGATTTTGTAAGACATTTACAATATTCTTCAGTGTCTGACAGCCTCCCTGGCCACAGTTCATCTCAATGCAGTCCCTAAACACATCTGCCCTTACCAGCAGACCACCAGATTTGGCCACATTTACCACAGAGTACTCTCTGTTGGAAGCTCTTTTACTTCTAAGTGCAAGGAAGTGTTGTGGTGTCTCAGATACCACTGCAGGAATTGTTGGTAATGGTAATCATCTAACAGCCACCACTGAATTTCATACCAACACATCCTCTTTCTCCATATAAAAAGGCATAGCCTTCGAAAATACTATTTATTCCTAACAAGATATCAGAAGAAAGGATAGAAAGGAGGTGCATGCACTCCTTGCCAGTGTATTTGATCTTTGTTGTCAATGCCAAAGTACCAACAAACCATTAACATGTGTTTGCCTGCACAAAACACCATCACCTTTTCAGAACTGTGCTCTTGCAAACAGCCTTGAATACAAAATTTCCACAGGCAAATATTTTGTGTAGCAGGACTGATTTTCTTTCTAGAACTGCCAGGAAACTGAATGGCAAGGTCCTTGGCTCACAGCCTGCTCAGTGATCTCCCATCACCATACACCAAAGGCTGGGCTATGAGCCCTTTTGCTGAGCACAGTCTTGAGCCCTTGAAGTCCCCACACAGAGTACAAGGTGATATTCATGCTGAGAATGCTCCTGCCTGGACGGCTTGCGTGTTCTTCAAGCGAGCCCTTTGATTTTGCCTCCAGCCTCATAGAGGCTCCATTCAGGGAGCTAAGGATTAATTACTGTTTGTACACACCCATGCACTGTCACTGGGGCTCCATGCTGTTTGCTTCCAAAACTCAGCTAACACCAGCAGAAAGGAATTCATGCATGTAATATCACAGGCCTCTCTGCTGGGAATGCCTTCTAATAAGATACATTTTCCTGCTAGAGACCATCACAGCCTTGCCCTTTTTTTATTTCATTATCCTTGACATCTTCAGCCATTGAATAATCAGATACTTTGGGGAAAACTCTTAATAGCTTTCCCTCTTGAAATGAAATACATAGCAACTGAGCTCAAAGAATGAAAATCAAAGTGGTGTGTGGACACTTGATATGCAGCAAACACTATATTATAAACTTGTCCTGCTTTGATGAGCTAATTTGGCTGTAGAAGGGGTCTGAGGGGTAGCTTTTGTCCTGTTGAGAAGAGCATGAAGAGAGGAAGGAGGGAACATATACATTACATGAATAAAATCGTTATATTTTCCCTGTGCAACTGCAGTTTGCCTAAAGATTACTTCAGTTCATTCCCAGTTTTTATAACACTAGCCCAGGGAGCTTTAGAAGGTTACAATATTATGTTTTTGTAATATGGCTGATTATGACAGGATTTGATGGAACAGTGGACTATGTTACCCAGAGGCTGAGGCAAGCAGGCTCGTAACGACAGTCTTGGATAATAGTGATTATGAAATATTTTTAACATCTGTGACACAAACACATTTCTCTGATAGCCAGTTGAAGATACAAAGCCACACAAAAACAGCTCCCATTGAACAATACCAACAGAATGTTTTTCTCTGAATTTCCAAGATGTTTTCTAATTCAAATTCAGAATTATAAACTATTCCACTTAGTATTGTTTGGGAGAGCCATAAAGTACTGATAGGTATCAGGTTATTCAAATTGATTTGGCCTTTGGATATCAAATAATACAAAGAGTTACATCATGGCCAAACAGTAGCATACCTTCAGCTGCTGCCTCCTTCTGCTTACAAGGAAAAAAACGTCTCTTTTTCTCTAAGGTGAATTGTTTTTTATAAATTCAGAATCTATCAAAGCAGATAGTGACTTTTTGTTATCACCTGGGATATAAGGATCAATGACCAGATCTTAGGGTGACAAAAATGTAGAAATTCACCACAGTGATATCTCCACTATACTGATTTGTTCCCTGTGCTGCAGAGCAAGCATCTGAGGCATATATAAGGGTTGACTCTGTTGACTCTGTGCTGCTTTTCCCTCTGCCTTGGCACACAGGAAGGCTGATGCAATCACTCTTTCCCAGTACTGCTCATGGACATCTTTGCACTTTACACAAAAAGCCACAATGATTTAGGAGGAACATCTCACCAGCTTCAGACTCTGGGTTAGGCGCAGAGGGATATCCTTCTCTTGCTGCATCAAAACACAATCTTATTCCTTCTGCTAAAACGCCTCACCATAACCTGAATAGGAAATGCCTTTTGAGGCTAGGTTACAAAGAAGGAATTTACAAAGGTACTTCAGATAGCAACAGCCTCGTTACCACCTGACAGATTGCTGTACATCAGATTTCATAGAGAAGGTGGTTCAGTATGTCTGCTTTCATTCAGCAGTATATCGCTTGTACACTTCACATGTAGAGCTAGCACAAGACAGCTTTAGGATGATGACTTCAAACAGTCATCTTCATTTTATTCCTTTCAATCTACTTTGCTATAGTGATAAGTAGCAAAATGTCACCCTCTCTCACACAATACCTCTTCTATTTTACTTTCTTTACTAGAAGTACATTGATATTCTCAGTCTAGTTCTTCACATGGCTAACTATACAGCAAGTGAAGTTATGCAGCATACTTTTACCCTACTTTCTTACAACACCTGAGCAGGATGCAAAAATCCAAAATTAAAACAGTTCCTTAGATTGTGCCACAATCTGAAAGAAGTTATGATTTTCCTATTTTAAAGCAATACAATAATAAACACAACTGAAGGGAAACAACAGGAATGTAGGCAACTAAGGAGCTTGACAGGTCCCTCATAACGTTATGCGCAAATCTACAAAGAGCATCAACATAGGACTTCTATCTCCTACTCTGCCTGTGACAATTAGCTCAAACGGGAGAGAGAAAGGTATTTGCTTGCTCTATTCAAGCTTGATTTGCATTCAGCAAACTGAGAATTGTTTCCGTATCCACTTGCAGCCCACTTGAGTCTTGGGTATCTATCACAGGTAAGTGAAGATATTGGGTCTAATTATGACCACCTTATTTCTGGCAACAAGAAGATTGTGAAGAAAGAAGCTTTAAAACAAAAATACAGAGAATCAATGTAATTTAAAGCAATTCTCCAAAATAAACGGTGATTGCACACTGAAAAAATACAATTCCTTAAAAGCACATTCTTGGGTTGCTGGGTTCTTTCTGCATAAGTGTTTGTCTTCTGATCTGTGTGAATGAGAAAAGGTTCAGCAAAGTTCCCAAGAGAGTAGCGATGTAAGAAGTTTTAGAACTTGAATGCAAGGAAGAACGAAAATCTTTTGGAAAAAAAACAAACAGACAAACAGCAACACAACAAAACTGGAAAAGTCTGTTGTCTTCTCCCAGTCCTGAGTATATGGTTCTGGATCAGTTGGGCTACAAAAATGTCAGAGAGCCTGCTCAAGGCCATGCTACTTAAACACACTGATTAGACCTATAAGTACTTAAATATGACATCAGATAAAGATGTTACATTGTTATGCTTTCCATAAAAAAAAGTCCAAAGCCCTTTAGGAGACTAATTATTTAGTTAGGACAGAGGCTGGCTTATAAGAAGGCTCAGAGCCTCACAATAATCAGTTTGTGATGACATTTCGCAAATTAAATAGGTTCTCCAAGAATGAAAAGTTCTGCATATTTAGGAGCACAATTTACACAGTTATTAATGTCAATAAATTAAATGTATTTTTGAGACTGACACAAGTTGGGCTCTGAAATGGAGCAGTAGGAAACCAGAAATTTGTATATTTTTGTATTTGCATGTTAACGGGAGATGAATGGGTAGAGCAAGGCAGAGAGCAATGGGAGCTGTGCTCAGCGTGCCTGCTGCTAGGGAGCACAGCTGCATGAAAGTGGGGGAGAGGCACGGGCTAAGAGTACCCATCAAAATAAAATTACTACCCCTCTTGGAGGAAAAGAAAAAGTGGGGAGGAGATTGTGGTTTATATACACACTATCTTATTATAAGCTGTATCCTAGAAACACAATCAAACACAGACACACTCCATTCACACAGTCCCCAAGTGCTTAAGTTATTAGCTGGCTCTGCAAACTGTGAGGTACGTAATCTGGTCTTCAGAGGCAAAAATGTTATCATTTTAAATGTATGCAAATGTAATGTAATTGTATGATATTATGGTACATTATTAGTAACTGCAATAATAACTCATGGGTTCTATCTTGCACCTACTCAAGTAGTTGGCAAATTTCCCAATAATTTTAATTGGAGCAAATATGCCAGTCAGAGCCATTTCTTTCCAGAGGGAAACGAAAATATAAGGTTCTGCACCTGTATATGACTGCTTATGGTGAAAAATGATCACTGTAAACATCTGAAAATATCAGAATATTAGCAATTAATCAAATGCAATTTTCCAGTCTGGAGTCAGTTGAGGCT